CGAATCCATTAAGGTTGGTAGGATTTTGGGCCTTGCCCGCGAATCCATTAAGGTTGGTAGGATCTTGGGCCTTGCCCGCGAATCCATTAAGGTTGGTAGGAAATTTTGGGCCTTGCCCGCGAATCCATTAAGGTTGGTAGGATTTTGGGCCTTGCCCGCGAATCCATTAAGGTTGGTAGGATTTTGGGCCTTGCCCGCGAATCCATTAAGGTTGGTAGGATTTTGGGCCTTGCCCGCGAATCCATTAAGGTTGGTAGGATTTTGGGCCTTGCCCGCGAATCCATTAAGGTTGGTAGGATTTTGGGCCTTGCCCGCGAATCCATTAAGGTTGGTAGGATTTTGGGCCTTGCCCGCGAATCCATTAAGGTTGGTAGGATTTTGGGCCTTGCCCGCGAATCCATTAAGGTTGGTAGGATTTGGGCCTTGCCCGCGAATCCGTTAAGGTTCGTAGGATTTTGGGCCTTGCCCGCGAATCCGTTAAGGTTGGTAGGATTTTGGGCCTTGCCCGCGAATCCATTAAGGTTGGTAGGATTTTGGGCCTTGCCCGCGAATCCATTAAGGTTGGTAGGATTTTGGGCCTTGCCCGCGAATTCCATTAAGGTTGGTAGGATTTTGGGCCTTGCCCGCGAATTCTATTAAGGTTGGTAGGATTTTGGGCCTTGCCCGCGAATTCCATTAAGGTTGGTAGGATTTTGGGCCTTGCCCGCGAATCCATTAAGGTTGGTAGGATTTTGGGCCTTGCCCGCGAATCCATTAAGGTTGGTAGGAAATTTTGGGCCTTGCCCGCGAATTCATTAAGGTTTAAATTACTATATGATAAAGAGGTTTAGGGTTTAGGGTTTAGGGTTTAGGGTATTTGGAAAGGGGTGCCTTGTTTTGGGGTCCTCATAGTAAGGATCCTATCAGCCTTAAAGGGAGCTATAAGGGATCTATAAAGGGTTTAGGGTTTAGAGTTTCCAAAAAATGGGGGTACCTTGTTTTGGGGTCCTTCATAGTAAGGATCCTACTAGTTGGGGTACTATATTGGGGTCCCCCTATTTTCGGAAACTCCCATTCTGCAACACCGCCTTAAGCGGCAGCAGTAAGGCGTCATTGAGCCCTTTATCAGGATCTTCCCATTCTTGTAGAGCCACCCCTCACCCCTAAGCCGCAGGCCCTCCACACCCCAAACCCTACTTCCTAAACCCTAAATACTAAACCCTCAATCCTAAGCCTTCCATCCTAAACCCTAAACCCTAAATCCTATGGACTCTGGGGCCTCACAAGCCAGTCACTTTATCCATCGGCTTTCATTTGCGGATAAGGACTTTTTTCTTGAGGGCTTTTATATATATATATATGGACACACCCCCCCCCATGACCTACCTCGGCCTCTTTTCCATTGTAAATACCGTCAAAACCTTCTCTTGGCAGGGATTCGCGTTTGGCATACGATTCGTGTTTTGCGTAATTTTCGGGGATGATACCTTCTCTCTCATGGCTGATGTGAAGTCATGTCTCTTTACAACGTCGTGCCTACTCATGTCCGCTTTCAAATTATATGCCTGTATTCATAAGCAAGAAACATTAAAAGAAACCACACGATACGACGGCGGAAACCAAAAAACCAAAAATCCAAAAATCCAAAGCCTTTCTGAGGGGCCCGAAACTTTTGGATTTTTTGGTTTTCCTAGGTCTTTTTTAGTTTTTTGGGCTTTGCCTTGGCGAAACCATGGTTTTTTTTGGATTTTCGGTGGAAAACCAAAAAACTCAAGGGTTTTTTTGGTTTTTCTGCTGTGTCTCTGGTGCAAAACCAAAAAACACCTGTGTTTTTTTGGATTTCTGCTGAAAAACCAAAAAAAACCTTGGATTTTTTTGGATTTCTGCTGGAAAACCAAAAAAACCTTGGATTTTTTTGGTTTTCTGTTGGAAAACCAAAAAAACCCTAGGAAAACCAAAAAATCCAAAAGTTTCGACCCCCCTGACAAAGGTTTTGGATTTTTGGTTTTTTGGTTTTTTGGATTTTTGGTTCTCGGAGCCTTAGAGCCAATACAGCGCGCAGCATGCTTGATCCGAAATGGTTTCGTTGTTTACGCGCAGTAGTCTTCAGATGTGCATTAGGCATTAGTGTTAGTATTAGTATCTGCGTTCTAGCGTGTTGATTCGTGTTACTGTTAGTGTTGGTGTCAGTGTCAATGTCAATTTCAATGTCAGCGTTAGTATTAGTCTGAATATAAGTCTATACAATAGGTGTACTAATGGTAGTGTTAATGTCTAGTGTGAGTTTTAGTATTCGTATTAGTCTTGGTCTTAGTCTCTGCCTTATTCTTAGTGTTAATATTAACCAGGGTATAGTCTCATAGTCTATGGTAACATTGGAATAGTAGTATACGAGTATATTATTTATTGGTATGTGAAAATACAGATTCTTTGGTACATTGATGTGTCTGTTTTTGTATTTGGTTTGAACGTGATTATTAGTATTCGTAGGAGCATTAATATTGGTATCAATAGCAGTATCGCTGTTCATACTATGCATAATCGTATTATCTGGAGTATCAAGTGGTAATACTGCTATTCATGTTAGTGTAGGTTTTTTAATGTGAATATGAATACTGAGAATAATTAATAAGACTATGCGCATTAATCTGCGGAGGAACTGTATCACTTATGTGCATATTAGTATTAATGTTAGCATTTGCGTGTATATTGGTAACAAATAAAAAATAAAATTACTATCAATATGGGTATGTTTTTTTAATATTCGTAGGAACACTAGTATTCATGTTAGTATCGGTATTACTGAAAGTACCCGTCTTCGTAAAAGTATTTGTAATCATACTAATTCATATCAGTACGAGTATTAAGATGAATTATGATGCGCATATGAATACTTTCGAAGGAAATGCTGACCTTAATACGAATACCCATATTAATGTCCTATTATGTATAATCGCAGTAGCCTGAGTATTGGTATGAATATTCGGACAAGTATGAGTATTCCAAACAACTAATACTATTAGTATTCATATTGAGAACAGTTAATAAGAATATGCGTATTAGTATCCCCAGGAGTGTTAATATTCCCATCAGCACTACTATTCGAATTAGTAGTGCAATTTTTAATACTAGTATTAACCATTAAGCCTATTATGTTATGAACAGTAATATCCTTATTCGTAGGAATAGAAATCTTAGTATCAGTAATAGTATTCGCACTAGTAATAGCTATTATACACATTGGCGCATGAGTAACCTAAGAGCTTCACACAGAATAAACATGTGTGCACATGTAACCCTCATTACGATCCTAGGTAGGATGCACACATCGTTCTGTTTTGGTACCGTCTTTGGGTTATGCCTATGAGTACATGAACAAAATTAAAAACAGACAATGACAAACACAAAGTTACCCGGCGCATCTAACGATCTTACGTAGGATGTAGACACTGTTCTGTCTTGGTCCTGTCTTCGGGTTATGCCTATGGTCATTATATGACCAGAGTTATGAATATCCGGAACATTTAGGCAGTACCCTATTAAACAATTGCAGGCATTGAAGCTTGCCCAAATCCGCCAACGGCGATGTCGCGCCGTCGTAGGTCATTACAGTGTATTCAGCTATTGATTATACACGATATACGTTTCCATTGTTTATGTATGGTGTATTTTATCCTAATGGTTTCCTCAAATCCTTACATGTTCTACTACCCATTGCTAGCCGAAGCACCTCGCGGTAGGTCTTGGGGGGGGGTGTGAGCATATATATATATATATATATATATGGCCAGTTAAGGGTATACTTGCTTTGTGGTTTCGTTGGTAGGTTTTAGGATTAAGGGGCTTTCGGGTATGTGAGTTTGGGGTGAGGGTTTCGCTTCAAGGGTGGCAGGGTTTGGGGGTCGTGAGGCGAACGTTAGAGTTCAGAAGAGCTCTTCCTGCCAAGTCCGGAAAGATCGGGGGCTGGATGCTGTAGGGGCCTGAATAAGGGTTCAGGGTTTCGGGTTCGCATAGGATTTTGCAGGCTTAGTATACTCATTCTATAATAGCAATATACCCGCAAACCCGGTTCTAATTATTGAGGCCTCTACATGAGATAGACTCGGGGACGGACAGACAGACAGATCGGCAGATAGAGGGTAGACAGGTAGTTCGATAAGCAGACAGGTAGACTGATTGGCGAATGAGAAATTAGGACAACTAGCAAGTAAGTACATAGACACATTTGGTATATAGGCAAATAAAAAAACAAAGCGCACGTGCCTGACACCTAGCCAGTTCGGCAACCAGGTAGGTAGGTTAGGTGGGTAGGTAGATAGATAGGTCGATAGATAGATAGATAGAAAGAACTCCTGCTTAGTCCATTCTGGGCGCTGTGAAGGCCTAATCTCTCATTCTGCACCCGTTTTCCTCTACTGCCAAATGTTTGCTGTTTGTACAGGGGCATGGTGTGTGCCGTTCTCCTCAAAAAATTATCGGGTGGATAGACGATAGACGAAATCTAGCACCACCTGTACATGCATACTTCAAGCGATTGAGGTTGGATACTGCTCCCACTCAGCAACAGTTGGAAAATATTCATAATATAGATATATTAGGACCTTAACAGTAGCCCTATTACAGACTGTTACTGTATGGGGGCAGTATCCAAGATTGAGGCCTCAAGCCCCGCATCTCCTTCTTAAGATTGCCGGCTAACCCTGAACCCTGAAGCGTGGCCTACTTAAGAGAGCTAGGACTACTTGGCCGGTACAGGATTTCGGATATTGGAGCAATTCCGGCCCATAGCCTTTCAACTCCAAAGCTATCTTACAAAGGCATTCATGAAAAGTGATGCGGGGGCTTGGTCTATCCACAGCAGTATAATAGTCTAAAGCCCTAAACCCTGAACCCTGAATCCCCCCCTAAAAAGCCCTAAAACCCTAAAACCCACTTCCCCCTAGAACATTCCCTAAAGGCTCCCACATTAGTATTTCGAGCGTTTGCGCCTGGGCCGCAGGTACTTGGTCTTGCACAACGCAATGTACGACAAGTACACCGTCCGGCTGAGGGTAAAGTGGCCGGAGCCAAAGCCGTTGCTCTGGGGATGACATCGGAGTTCTACTTGGAGGTTCATGGGTAGTTATAAGTAGGGCTCCTCTAAGGGATCTATAGGGTTTAGGGTTTAGGGTCTAGTAGGATTCTAGGGTTCAGTGGTAGTTATAAGTGGGGTTAGAAGTCCCCTAATATGAGTTATAAGTATAGTTACCCTACTTATGGCCCTACTTACAACTACCCATGAACCTTCAAGTAAACCGTTACACCCGAGCTGCAGCCCACCACATATCATTGCCGAGGCTTCCGGCATATGGGAGTTTCCAAGAATGGGGGGATCCCAATATAGTACCCTAAATAGTAGGATCCGTACTATAAGGATCCCAAAGTAAGGTACCCCCCCATTTTCGGAAACTCCACATGACCCCCTTATATAATATGTCCCCAAAAGGAAAGGGCTTTTGGGGCTGCAAACTAACCTTCACACTGGCAGTGCTTCTTCCCAAGCTCCGTACAAGTAAGCCCGGGGTTGTGGTAATATGAGCAGGGGGTTTGGGCTCTGGGATTCTGTGTTTGGGGTTCTGATGGACAGATCCGTTTCTTGGGAGAGGATGGAAAGGCTACGCAGGTTCACGGTTTAGGGTTTAGGGGTTTGGGTCTGGGTTTTCGGGTTCGGTGTTATGGCTTTCGGCATTCGGGTCAGGGGTTTAGGGTTCAGGGGTATGCACTTGAACCGTGCAGATAACCCAATTGCACATGTGGGTCTACCGACCCTGGAATCCTAGACCTAAGCTTTGCCATCTAAGCTCAACTCCAATCCCTACGCCCTAAACCCGAAGCCCTAAACTCCAACCGTTTCCTACATCTTGCACCCTCAGACCCCGAGCCCTTGACCTGCACCCGAAAGCCCAAGCACCGAAACCCACCGAACTTCGACAACCCAAGCGCATACGGGTCAAGAGCTTCAATTCACTGGAGGGTGTCGGGTTTTAGCAGTTCTTATGTGGGCTACTACGATGGTTACTAGAAGGGTTGCTGTAAGGGTTACCAGACGGGTTACCAGAAGTGTTGCCAGAAGGCTTGCCAAAGGGGTAGGCTATGTGGAGTACTCTGAGGGATCTAGAGTTCAGGTTTCAGGATGTTGGGTTTGGGGGTGAGTTCGGTTTATGGTTGTGTCTGACTTTTTTTTCGTAAATGGGGTTTAGATCCTGCAGTTTACCATGTAGGGGCTTGAGCCCTTCTTCTGTGTACGGCATGTAAAGCCCCCAAAGGCTAGAGCCCTAGACAGCAGAACACTTAAGTCTGTTTGTTCTCTATCCATCCATCGATCTATCTCTCTATGCATCTACCTCTCTACATATGTGTGTGTATGTATATATATATATAAATATTTATGAAATAGACGAGATCTATATCGATCTATCCATCTATCTATCTGCACACCTACGTATCCAGCTATCTATCCATCCATCTATCTATCCAGGCATGTATTCATCGATCTATTTATCCATCTATCTATCTATCTATGCATCTATCTATCTTTGCATCTATCCGTCTAGCTAGCTAGTTGTTTAGCTACTTTAATCAGCGGTCTCTCCGCCCAGGACCGCGGACTCGCAGCCAAAGGCTGCTACGAGTCACAGCTTAGGCCAGCCATTGGAATGTCACAGGGTTTAGGGTTGAGGGGTTTCCCTAACAAATCCTTCGGAAGGGATCCTGAATTCAAAAAACTAACATTTCCCCGTCAACCCTTAACCTTAAACCCTAAAGCGTAACAGGATATGGTCCCCTTGAATAGAATCTTCCGTGGTTCCTTCCTAATTAGGGATCCGATAAAACTGGGTGCTGACCTCAGCACACCCATACTAAACTACGAAACTGTAGTACAATATAACAAAGATGCTCAGGGTTGCCAACCTGCCATCGGGTTTAGGGCAGCATCGTTGTCAGAAGAGGTATTGCAAATGAAAGTCGGCAGCTGGAGTGCTACTCGTGGTAGACCGGAAGATGACGTGGACTACACCTCAAAGCAACATGGAACAGTGCAGCAAGGCCTCGTTCAATAGTTGCAACAAGTAGCAACAATAGTACGAGCGGTGGAGGGGGACTAAAGCCACCCGAAACCATGCCTTATCTTGTCAAGCTTTATCCCGAAGCTCAGAACAGTCTAAAACCTTCCCCCCTCTCTCAAAAGAAGGAGAACCCAAAACCTGAGCCCGAAACCCTAGATCTGAAGCGACCTTCGACTCGCGTCCCAAAGCCTAAAGAGTCCTCTTTCCTCGTGGATACGTCTACTGAAGGGCTTCGAGATGGCTTTTTTGTGGGGGGTGGCTCCAGGGAGGCCTTAGGTTCAGGGTTCAAAGTTTAGGTTTCGAGGTCTCTGGGTGGGGCTTTGGGCACTTAGGGCGCTGGGAGGGTAGTGGGGATGATGCCATACTTGCTTCGAAAATCACTATCTGCAAGAAGACGACAGCAAGCCCTGAACCTCTTCAGTCACAAACCTTGAACCCTAAACCTTGCACCCTGAACCCCTTTAAAGAGCCCTGTATTGTAACCCCAGTTACGAAGTCCCATGATCCTTTAAGTAGACCCTGAACCCCAAGCCCCGAACCCTAACCATAGAAGCGAAACCCTTCGAAAGGCCAGGTAGGGAAGACAGCACAGCGCGCCCTGAAAATTAAAAGATGGTCAGGCAACGGTGCTCCACGCCTTTTGCTGGAGGGTCCGCTGCTGGGCATGCTGAACCAAGTCCGACAGGCAAGCGCCGCGGACAGGAGTTCAGGAACCTCGGAGGGATTCTAGGGTTTCAGGGTTTAGGGATTAGGGTTTCAGGAATCACTGTTTACGATTTCGGGCTGTGCGTCGTTCAACTCCTTTACTTACCTGACTTATAATAGGCCCCTCCGCACCCTAAATCCTGCAGCCTAAGCCGAACACCCTACTTACGAAGTCCCCTGACTGATCCTTGAAGTATATAAGCATATAGATATAGATATAGAAATAGATATGGATGGATGGCTGTATAGTCTAGTGCAGTCTGGTCCAGTCTAGTCTAGTCTCGTCTAGTCCAGTATACCCCAACACCCTATCTGAAGTAGTAAGGACCCTTGTTGTGCACATGTAGAGGTATATGTATATGCAGACGTATATGTACATGTATATGTATGTATGTATGTATGTATGTATGTATGTATGTATGTATGTATGTACGTATGTATGTATGTATGTATGTATATATATATATATATATATATATATATATATATATACACCAATAAATAAATAGATTTGTATCTATCTATATATATATATATACATATACATATACATATACATACACACATATACACATTGTATGAGTGTAGTCTATAGAATGTATGTAATCTATAGACATGCAGCAGGCCCCGCTCTGAACCCGAAGGTTCTGGAGCTCCAGGACAAGCTTACGGCGCGGGCGACCGCAGCCGAGGCCTTCCAACGTCTTTTTTGGGTTTGCAGTTTAGGGTTCAGGGTTTAGGGTTTAGGGTTCAGGGTTTAGGGTTCAGGGTTTAGGGTTTAGGGTTTAGGGGTCAGGGTTGTGTGTTTTGCAAGTTCGTTAGTTTTGATTTTGTTACATGAGGGTTTTGAAGGTTCTTGGAGGAGTTTATTCTTATAGGGTCTTATAATAAGGTTTGTATTGGGGTTTTGCAATGGGTTTAGAAGGCTTTATAGGGTGTTGTAGCTGCTTTTTCTTCTGTCGGGAATTTGCCAGGGCTTCTTAGGCCTTTCGGTTTCTAAAGGGCGTCATAGGGTTGAAGAGGGATCATGGTCCGTTGGGGTTTTGGGGTTTTGGGTTTAGGGAGGAGTGAAGAGAGGTTGGTGAGGGGCAGTTTTTAAAAGATTCTTCTTCCTGTAAAGTGGTTTATGGGTCTTCAAGGTCTGCGGATTTGGGTTACTTCGAGCTTTCTTGGGTCCCTGCCGCGGGCCGACGGCTCGGCAGATCTGCAGGCTCCGGGTCTGTTTGTTGGGCATGGATTGTAAGTTTTAGGGTTTAGGGCCTAGGGTTTAGGGTTTAGAGCTCAGAAGTTTAAGGCGAACTTTGAGGTGAAGCAGCGTCAAGCTAGAGCTCCTCTGGTGCTTGCACGAGATCAACGCCAAAAGCGGTGTTCTGCGAACCGCCACGAGTGTGGGACTTCGTGAATCGTTTGTTGAACCCATGCGTCTATACACTTTCAAACCAGAAAGCCAGCCGAACCTCCCTGGTAACCCCCTTCATGAACACGGGAAACTTTGAAATCCTAAACCCGACAGCCGTCCACGCCTGAAGGCCACAACTCCTAATCTACGGGTGTAAGCAACAAGAGATGACTTCTCATGAAAGTCCTTATGCAAGTTTAATACATCATAGTCACGCGAAGCCCTACTCTAATTCTCTGGGCTCTACGCCCTAAACCCGACACCCAGAGCCCTAAGCCTCCAATCCTTAATCCGCAAGCCCTGAAACCCAAGACCCCTAAACACTATCTAAATGCTCGGCCTCACCCTAAATCCTAAACCCGAAACGCCCTAAACTCCGAACCTCGGGGCCTTGATTCCCTGCTTAAAACGCTTAAGAACTCAGAGGCGTCGTCGGCGGAGCGGGCCGTTCTGGCGGAGGTCGGGGTGTTTAGGGTACCAGGGCTTCGGAAAGGGGTGGGTGGGGGTGTGGGGGTGAGGGAGTTCAGGGTAGTATCCGCTATCGCAACTGTTGCCGAAACCGGAAACCCCAAAGCTAGACATCTTGAAGAAACCACAGTATTCCGCAATGAAGGGTGTGTCTACGGGCTACAGAACACCCTGTAAAGTTCCCTCTAGAGCCCTACCAAGGCCTTTCGAACCCTATGAAAGCGCTAAACACCACCCACACAGAAACCCCTGCACAATGCTGCATAAACTCCAGCCGTCCCGTTAAAACCTTGTTGTAACAAACTCGCGAAGCCCTGCAGAGAAAGACCTGAAAGAATCCAATCAGCCGCCCACAAACCACACCCCAATCCCAAACCCTACACCCAAAAGCGCCAAAACCTCTCACCTCCCCGCCCACTCTTAAGAGATGAAAGCACGCAGAAACTTGGCCTTCAGGCCCGGGCGAAGCAGGCCGAAGAAAGGGCCAAAGCCGCCGAGGCCTCCTTGGCCTGTCTCTCTGTCTCTCTGCCTGCCTGGCTGGCTTTTTTCCGTTCGTCTGTCTGTCTGTAAGTCTCTCGCTGTCTGTCTCTCTCTGTCTGCCTGCCTGCCGGCCGGCGGGCTGGCGGTCTGTCTGTCTGTCTGTCGGTTTGTCTGTCTGTCGGTCTGTTTGTCCGTGTCCGTGTCTGTGTCCGTGTCTGGCTCTCTCTCTCTCTCTCTCTCTCTCTCTCTCTCTCTCTCTCGCTGTGGTCATGATGCTGATGATTATATGTTGCTTTCATTTTGTTTTGAATCTGTAGTTGTTCCTTTGTTTTGTGGTTTTCGTGTCGAAAATAAGAGCTTTAAAGGCGTTGGTGAGAAGGCTTCTCTTTTAGAGGCAGATGTTTCTATGATAGTGTGGGCTTCTGCTACTTGGTACTGCAGTACTACTTCAGCAGCGAATACTTCCAGTACTTGTACTTTTGCCTTCGTTCTAGCACTACTGCTGCTGCTGCTGCTCCTCCTGCTGCTACTTCTGCTCTACATACACTCCTGGTACAATGGCAGCTGATGCTGAACATCCCAGGTCATTCGTTTCCACAAGGATCCTATGAGGATTCTGGTAAAGGTTTGCGAGCATCGCGACTAGGGCCAAGAACAGCGGGGTAGCTCCAGAGCCTTGGCATTCACAGCAACCACACTGATGCAAACAGCTGTCCTGCTATGGACGTGAAGCAAAGAACCAGAATCTACCGTTTAGGGGTTTAGGGTTTAGGGTTCTGAAATGGGAGTTTCCGAAAACTAGGCGTACCTTATTTGGGGGTCCTTATAATAAGGATCCTACTGTCCTACTATTTAGGGTATTATTTTTATGGTCCGCTATTTTCGGAAACTCCCAAATCAAGATATGCAGACCGAGCTCTGTTTTCGGAGGCGGCCCTGGCTGCCATCTGCCATGCACCCGGACCGGCACCCGGAGCCTCGAGAGAAGGACCGTCGGTGGGATCGTTTCACACATTTTTGCCACGGCTCCCTAAAAGAAAAGCCCTAAACCTTGAGCCCTAAGCCCTAAGCCCTAAACCATCTTAAACTCTTAAACCTAGAAAAAAACAGCGAGGTCCGAGTCTTTGTTGACTGGTTGAAGGATCCCTAAGCCCTGAACCCCTACAACTTTGAATCCCACACCCGTACGGTTGATGATATGAATCCTGCATTACCTTAATGACCCTAAACTATGGGAATCATGGTATATTCCTTGTTATGACTAATGCAGGATTTATATCATCAACCGTAGTAATCTCCAGAGCCACTTTACGTTCACATCCTACAGCCTCGGAACCTTCGGACTGAAACGGTTTAGGGTTTACGGTTTTTGGGTCCTCAGCTGGAAGATCTGCCGAACTCCTTTGTTGCCTTGTTAGGCTTTGCGAGCCCGCTAGTAGTACCGCGAGGAATATTGTCATGACCGCGACGGGGATAGTATGTACGCGAGTGACGACAGGATTACTGAAAAGTAGTTCTAGTATGAGTGAAGATAAGCAGCAAAAGAACACCACCAACAGCAATAGCAATACTACAGAGCCGGAGGAGAACAACGACTTGTCGTCGTCTCGGCCGGTTCAAGTCGTCGTTGGGTGGTGGTAGTTCCTGTCGCAGTTCTTGTTATTCTTTGTGGTCGTAGTTGTGGAAGCGGCTGTGGTAGTTCTTGTGGTTGTGGTTGTCGCTTGAGCTGTTGTGGTTGCAGTTGTCATTGTATTTCTTGTTCTGTAGAGGTTGTTGTCCCTGTCAAGCTCTAGTCGTTGCTTCGCTATGTTGCCGTTGCTGCCTGTGGCGGCGTCTGCTGCGGCTGCTGCTGCTGCTGCTGCTGTGCTTGGATCATGCCATATGTTGTACCAAGTATCTTTGCAGCAAAGTTCCCCACTTACCTTCTTTACTGTAGAGTTTCTCTTCCTGCCCCCGCTTATTCTGAGATCTACGGCTGGACTTGTCAGGCTTACTGTATAACTATCTGTAGCATGCCTGCTACTTCTGCAGTGTCGGATGCACACATACTCGTCATGAGCATCGGGTGACTCTTACTGCTGTTCATCGGCTTCTGATTTCTCGTAGATTTTTTCATCTGTCGTTGCTGTTGCTGCGACCGGTGTCATTGCGGTTTCTTCTGTTATCACGAAGATTGCACATGTTATCGACGCCATGCATTCATTCTCTGCAGTTGTGGCAAGAGCCCCGGTCTGGAAGCAGCAGCTCCGACCAAAGGCCCAAAGCCCTGTTGGGTGGGTAACCCTAAACCCTAAACCCTTAACCCTTAAACCCTAAACCCTGAAACCCTAAACCCTAAACCCTAAAACCCTAAACCCTAAACCCTTAAACCCTAAACCCTAAACCGAAGTTTAGGGTCTAGAGTGTAGGGTCAACCCTCCACTTCAAGCCGTCGAAATCACGCACTGTACGCCTCAAACCTCCAGCACTAAAACCCTGAAAAGCCTTAGGTCTTGAAAGCAAAGCACCCAATGTCCCACAAGCCTCAAGCCTTGACACACCACCCCAAAACTCCACCATCCCCACTCATTCCCTGAGCCCAGAAGCAATCCTAAACTCTTCCCCGCACCCTTGAACCCTAAACCCTAAACCCCTAGGCTCTAGTGTCATCATACCGGGGACCCCACGACCTCATCGAACTCCGAACGCTGTAGGGCTTGAGGCCTCCGGCTTAGGGTCTTTAGGTCTTGGGGCTTACTTGGAGGGTCGGGGGGCTTAGTAAGTAGGTAGTAAGTAGACTTATAAGTACCCTAAAAGGGACGATTAGGGGGTTATGGTACTGATAAGTCCCTAAAATAACCAGTTGCTAAGTTCCCCGACCCTCCAAGTAGGGTCCAAGGGTTTAAGGGTTTGGGGGGTTTAGGGTTTTGGGTCTCGAGGTTTAGGGATTAGGGTCCAGGGGTTTAGGGTTTAGGGACTATGTTTGTCTAGAGGTTCCCAGAGTCTCCAATATCCTTTAAATAAGGAATATACCTTAAATCATATCAGGGATCCTACTGCAATTTAAGGTATAGTCCTTAATGAAGGGATATTGGAGTCTCTGGGTTTAGGGTTTTTTGGGCTTCGGGCTTAGGGCTCAGGCCTTTCTGTTCAGGGTTTTGCCAGGATCACCAGCCGGCATCCAGGCCCAATTCTTGCAGAGAGGGTTACTGACAGAGGGGGTTGTTATAGGGTATGTAGAAGAGCTCCTTTCGAGGTTCCTTGACGGTGTTCCCTAAACCCTAAACCCTAAATCCTTTTCTAGGGGTTTTGGTTTCCGTATTGTAGGGCTTCTGCAGAGCTCCGGCCTGCAAAAACAAGAGGTCTGGGCTTGTGAAGGGTTCGTCTTCCAGGCTTTGATACCTGGCTGACCCCTCCGCCCTAAACCCTCAAGCCCTCAAGCCCTAAACCCTAAACCCTCAAGCCCTAAACCCTAAACCCTAAACCCTCAAGCCCTCAAGCCCTAAACCATAAGCCCTAAACCCTAAACCCTAAACCCTCAAGCCCTCAAGCCCTAAACCCTAAACCCTCAAGCCCTCAAGCCCTAAACCCTAAGCCCTAAACCCTAAACCCTCAAAAAAAACCTTAAACCCTGGACGGAACATAGGCTTCAGAGCCGATTCTCGTTGGTAGGTTGCATACCACTTGAGGCAGCAATCTGCACATGGGTGGTTGTCAAAATTAGGGTCCCCTTTTTGGGGTCCTTATTATAATACGGCACCTACAATTTAGGGTACCCCAAAAAGGGACCCTAATTTTGACAACTACCCACAGAGCAAATCTGCACATAGAATGGCAAAACATCGGGTTCTCCGGTTGATGATTTGAATCCTGCATTACCCATAATGAGGAATATACCATAAATCCCATAGTTTAGGGTCCTTAAGGTAATGCAGGGTTTATATCATCAACCCTAAACCCTAAACCCTTTAGATCCCTTAAAGGAACTTAAAGGTACCCCTATAGATCCCTTTAAAGGGGCCCTAGGGATTTATATCATCAACCGTCCCACCCTCAAGAAAGAACTCCTGGGAGCGCCATGGCACAGGGCTTTAGGGTTTTTTTGGATTTAGGGGTTTAGGGTTTAAGGTTTAGGGCTTGAGGGCTTGAGGGTTTAGGGTTTAGGGCTTAGGGTTTAGGGCTTAGGGCTTAGGGTTTAGGGTTTAAGGTTTAAGGAGCCATTTTGGCTAAAGCATTTCCAGCAGCTTCATCATTTGCTGTTTGACGCCACGCCGGTCCCGGTTGCTGTACTGAGGTGCCTTCTTATTCTTCGGACTGCCTTCGCGTCTTCGTAGGACGCGGAACCAATTCCAGGTCCTTGGCGAGGATGACGAAACCCTAAACCCTAAACTGTCAAGAGCTTCCAAGGGCACCATGCCATGCCGATGCCCACACCGCCCACGGGTCTCCGCCCACCCTTCGGAGGCCTCAAAAAGGTGAGATGAAGGTAGGTGGGATATTCCCAAATAAGAGTCCTTATATAAGGGATCCTTACCTGGACCCTAAGGAACCTACTACCTTTTTAGGGACTTGTATAAAGAAATCATATTAGGGGGCCCTAAAAAGGTAGGTTCCTTAGGGTCCAGGTAATCCTACCTACCTTCATCCCACCTTTGAGGCCTCCGAACCCTGGGCCACTGGGCCACGCCAGAGTCGCATGGGCCTTGCCTCAGCACAGCGCTGCCCAGCACATCTTCCCAGAGACTCCAATATCCCTTAATTAAGGAATATACCCTGAATCATATTAAGGATCCTACTATAATTTAAGGTATATTCCTTAATTAAGAGATATTGGAGTCTCTGGGTTGCCGGCTGCACTGCACAGCTGCCCGCCCGAGCAGAGCCCCAGCTTGAAGATCGTCCGGTACCTTGCGAATCGGTTGTCCTTCACGCGGGTAGTTTTAAAGATCATGGTCCCTTTTTGGGTCCTTTTATTGTAATACGGCACCTAATATTTAAGGTACCCCCAAAGGGGACCCTAATCTTGACAACTACCGATCTGGATTGCTGTGGTTCCTGCTTTCCTCGCTTCGTTGGCAGAGAGCACCATCTTGATCGCCTGCTTGGCCGAAGTACTTACCTTGGGTTAGTAGGGAATGGAGGAATGGGGGTACAATTATGACTACTACGGTTGATGATATAAATCCTGCATGACCCATAATAAGGAATATACCATAATTCCCATAATTCAGGGTCCTTAAGGTAATGCAGGATTTATATCATCAACAGTATTAATACCATTCTTCCATTCCCTACAACCAAAGGTAAGAGCCTCGGTGGCGGACTCTGTGTCGTGCTCAGCGGAGGATCAGCCATAAAGCCTTGTAATATTGGGGGGGCCAAATAATTACCTACATAAATATCGGGGCTCCTTATTCGAACTGTAGTATCAGGGGCCCAAAACCCGTTTCTAACTACTAAGGCCCCTATGTTGTAGATCCCTTGTAGTAGCCCCTTCTAGACCCCTCTAATTCCTCATTTTTAAGTATAGTATCATAGTCACCCAAACCATATTCCAATCAGCAAGGGTCCTACATTACATCCTTCGACAACAAGAGCCCGCCTGTCAGACTCAACTCTCGGCCAGGGCCTGCCAGAGGACAGCTTGCCTGAGATGTCTCTCCGGGAGATATCGGGCCTCTAAGATGCTTGCGTTAAGGCTTCCTTGCAGGAGCTGCTACAAGGGATCCTGTTAAGATCTAGGTAATAGGGTTCGGGCCCTAAGTTTAGGATAATTGTGGATGCAAGGAGTTTTGGGTCCTTCTCGCGTGGTTCGGTATCTACTTTAGACAAGCCTTCCTTTGCTTGCAAGTCCAATCCCGTAAATCCTGAACGGTACAACTACCACGACATAAGACCCTGCAGAATATGAGCCCTGATGAAACCCTCAAAAATGCGGACTAGACCCTACAGCCCTCCTGCGCCTTGACGGTAGTGCACCGGCACAGGGCATTAAGCGATTTTCTTGCACGACGCGCTCCAAGAAGGGGCAGTCACGCCATCGCCACGCGACGCCGCAGACGTCGCATGTGAATGTGCAGGAAAACAGGTGTGCTTTCGACCGCAGGATTTCCGGGTTTGGTTTGCTTCAGGTCAAGGCTTCAGGTTTTGGGATATACAGGGGGGGATCTAGGGCTTAATGTAGGAACCTGATTAAGAAACCTTGGGCCTTTATTAGGGTTCCTTATATGAACCCTACGATTTTTGGGGTTATAGGCACGGGGTTTCTTAATCAGGTTCCTACATTAGGGCTGGAGGGCTGTGAGATTGAACCAATCACAGGAGCGAGGTTTGTTGGATTGGGCAAAGGCATTCCGTGGGATGAAGGCATGTTGGACAGGCGTGGCAGCGAAAGGATGAGAATGGTGGTTTGTGGGTTTTGAAAAGTTGAAGTTTCGTGCCAGTTGAAACCAGAAGCCCTTCAGCTTTCACTCTATACAGCTTCTGGCCAACACGAGCCGTCAACAAGAAATGGACGAACTACTGAGGAGTACTGTTGATGATACAAATCCTACATTACCCACAATAAGGAATATACCATTATTCCCATAGTCTAGGGTCCTTAAGGTAATGCAGGGTTTATATCATCAACCCTAAACCCTAAACCCTATATAGATCCCTTAAAGGAACTTAAAGGTACCCCTATAGATCCCTTTAAAGGGGCCCTAGGGATTTATATCATCAGCCGTACTACTGAATTCATGTGCATCCTTCGGCTTGAGGATCCTTGGCGTCCCTAAGCGAGCCCTGATTTCTAAATACCTGAAACCCTAAGCCCTAAACCCTAAACCCTAAACCCTGAACTCTAAACCCTAAACCCTAAACCCTAAACCATAAATCCTAAACCATAAACCCTAAACCCAAAACCACGAATCCTAAACCCTAAACCGCGATCTCTGATTCCTAAGTTATGAAAGGGGTTAGGGGTTTTGGGCTTTAGGGCATTTAGGGGTTTAGGGGTTTAGGGGTTCAGGGGTTTCGGGGCTTGGGGGGGTTAGAGGCTAAGGGCTTTAGGGGTTTAGGGCTTTAGGGGTTTAGGGCTTTAGGGGTTTAGGGTTTGGGCTTTAGAGGTTGGGGGCGAGGGTTTAGGACGGTTGGGCCTGTCAACAATATCGTTCCTTTATGGCCATAATCTTTTCCCCGGGCCATACCTCAAGCAACAGGCTTTGCAGGCTCGCTATCTGCAACCTGACACCCTACGCCCTGAAACTCACAATCATGTCGTTACCCTAAACCCCAGACCCTGAATCCTACACCTGACTTGCGCAGTGGCCCAAGGCTATTGCTCTTAGGACTAGGGGCAGGTTTGAGCTAAGGGCCATGGCGGAGCAGCTGGCGAGGTGGGGGAGGGGGGGTGCTCTTCCGAGTGCGAAATGTCGGTTCTGCTTGGTTTAGGTTTTAGGGTTTAGGGTTCGGCGTTTAGAGGCCCAGTCTAGCCTCTCTCGAAATTGACAGTTCAAGTGGCAGGCCTCAACCCGAAGCCCGTAACAATAAGGCGCATGTCAAGGCACCCTAGACCCCAAACCCAAAACCGCTGGTGGTGTCCTCCAATCCTTAACCTAAACCGTAAGCTCTAGAACCCTGAAGCCTGAGTCCTTCATATTTCATGGTGTTTTTGGCGATTCTGCGAGTGTCATGGCATTAGTTTGGGTACTGCCCCCACTCTCTCACATTGGCATAACATTAGTGATATAAGTGTATATGGCCCTCAATATGAACTCTGATGTAGACTCCTGCGGGGCGGGGGCAGTACCCACGCTTTATTGCGTCAAGGCTTGATGAAGATGGCAGGGTTCTTCGTTCTAGGGTTTCCATTCCAGAGGTCTAGGGTCTAGCATTATACCTACTATTACTACCATACTACTACCATATTACTGTCATATTACTACCATATTACTACCATATTATTACTGTAGGGTTCAGGGGCGCGTGGAACGAGCGCCTTCAAGATGGCAAGCGGCCCGCATAGTGCGGCGAGGGCGTCACGGTGTCGATTGGCTTGGGGTTTAGGGTTTAGGACACCATCGACTGTTCCGTCCGTGCTACTCAGCTGTGCAGCGCCCACTGGCGCTATGTGCCTGAGGCTTCGAAACGGGAGTTTTTTCAGAGGGCAGCACGCACTGGATACAACGAGGCCGAGCGTGCCTACCTTGTCCAGGCCGCCGAGACAGCTGAACAAGCCAAGCCGCTACTTCGGCCCAGATCCACACCCTGAACCTGTGAACTTCGCCACGTGCCAGACATCTTCGGCTGGACAGAGCATGAACAGTGAGTAATACTGTCTCCTCAGCTATCTGCTCCAACACATTATTCTGAATGTGAAGTCTCCTACATTCCTACATCAAGAATCTAAACCACCCGGAACCAAACCAATAAAGCCCCATTACCTGTATCAGGGCTTCCGGTCAACTCGTTGCCAGCTTCGTACACCAAACATACCCCAAACCCCTAAAGCCGAAAGAAACCCTATCGCACAAGCCCTGAAATCAAACCGGAAATCCCAAACCTTATCCAGGAACACCCTGAGCGATAACCGAGGATCCCGGAGTTGATGAGTAGGGCTTTGGGGATGGTCTACGGTCTGGATGTAGGGTTTGGTATTTCGACTAGGTTCCTGAATGGCGCCCTGTTGCCCCTTTCTTTTTTTGGGTTCCCTTATAAAAGCCGAATAGTAGGAAGAAGGGTACCCTTAAACAGAAAGGGGCTACTCAGGAACCTTGTCGAGGATCTAGGGATGTCGGGTTTGGGGTTTGGAGCTCCACCGGATGCCCTCCAGGATTTTCGGGACCGAGGAGGATCGCGTGAACTGTCCATTCTACTTCAAGATCGGGGCATGCCGAAATGGTGGGAGTCCCAGGCATCAGCATCACAGTAAGCGCCATGACCATCGACAGCACAATCAACATCCATTATGACCATCTTGTTCATCATCACCACGACATGAATAGCGCCGCTGTCGTCATCATGATCATGATCACCAGCATCATCATCTTCATCTCTGAACCATCATCATGATCGTCACTTTCTTCACAGCCACGCCACACATCACGGAGTTCCACCAAAACCCTCACGATGCCAGGCTCGAGGGCTACCAGACTCCATACTTGGAGGTTCAGGGGTAGTTAGAAGTGGGGTCCCCAATATGGTTTCTAACTATAGTTACCCAGGTTTCATTCCCCCCCCCCCCCAGACAGTTATAACTACCCATGAACCCCCAAATAGCTGCTTCCCTCCCAACCGGTGCCTGAAAAGCCAAGAACCATGGAATCTGTTCACAACAGCCAGGATAGGGGCCGAGGTTGCAAAATTTAGGATTTAGGTTTAGGGATGGATCCCACAAACAAACGTGGCTTGGGTCTGGTTCGCACAGGTGTTGGCTATAGGGTTAAGGGCCGGTTAAGGGTTTAGAGTTTACCTGAACACTAAACCCTAAATCGTAGACTCGTTTCTCGCCCTTTGAGTTCAAGATGGGCTTCAGGTCATGGTTCCTGGGAGTTTAACCTTGGGGCCGGGCCTGACATCACTCAGACGCCCCAAGCCCAAACCCCCAAACTTTAGACCCTAAACCCTCAACCCTCAACCCTCAACCCTGAACCCTAAACCGTTTAAGCGGTCTTTGTGTCTCCCGGCCGTCGGCCTCAGGTTAACTCAGACGGATGGGCAGACCTAGAAAGGAACTCAAAAAACCTCCAGGGTTTAGGGGTTAGGGTTTAGGCTCCTCGATCCCTTATAACCCTACAGCAATCCCCAAAAAGTCTATAAGCCCAACAACAGGAAATTCAACAAAACTGTGGAAAGCGTTCGTCCGCGATGGGCCCGAGACACGCCAACCCTAAACCCTAAGCCCTAAGACCCTGTACCCTAAACCCTAAACAGCAGAGCCCTAGGCGATCAGTGCAATCGACTGCACAACCGTCCGACGATGAGTCAGACGCTGCTGCTGTCCCACATGTCCGGGACCCCATCGTCGTTCAGGGATCCGAAAGGGTTTAGGGCTTAGGATTTTCCGGGGCTGAGTAGGTAACCTTTAACCTTTTGGCGCCAATCTAATCCTACTATAATTCAAGGGGTAAAACTTTTTGGGGCTACCTTGGGATTGGGGGTGTAGTATAGGCGCCTAGATAACTACTAATACTATTTTGGGGGTTCCTCATTGTAACTCTAGTATAATGGGCCCGAAAATCCGATTGTAATTGTTAAGGCCCCGCTATTGGGGGTTCAAGTTCGCTTTTATGGTCGTGTTTAGTCTTTCGGCTGCCGGCATTTGGGCCGTTGTCTCGAAGGTTTTGGAGCTCTGCCAATCCCACAAAGGGGAATTATAAGGGCCACCAAGGTTCACGATGAGGGTTTCTGTTAGGGTATCAGGGTTTTAGGGTCGTTAAAGGTCGCTTGAGCCGAGAAAAATCCCACGCCCCAAGAGGAAGAAGGCTCAAATCCAATCCTTGAGCGTTGAGTCTGAAACCCTAAGCCCTGCAGTACAAGCCAAAAAGTTGGAAACCCAATAGCCTCAATCCGTAAGACTAATGTATAGGGAATCCCAGCACTATTTGGCCGTAATTAGGTTTCCAACTTTGTGGGGTTTACTGTAGACCCCAAGCGCTGAACCCTGTCGGTGCTGAGCCCTGAGCCTCACGGTTCCGGATTTGCGATTTCGGAGCTGGGAGGTGTCAGGAAGGAGCTTAGCAAGGTGTTATTCTTCGGTTTTTGTTTTGGGTCTATAGGGGAGTTTCCGAAAATTAGGGGCACCTTATTTTGAAACTTAATGGACTCTGACTTCCAGGTATCCAAACACGCCAGAGAGCTTGGCCCTTGCGAATGACGAGCCCTGGGATGACGACATGCGAAGGGCTCAGCGGTTTGGGGTTCAGGGTTTAGGGTTAAGGGTTCAGAGTTTAGGGTTTAGGGTTAAGGGTTCAGAGTTTGGGGTTCAGGGTTTAGAGTCCAGGGTTAAGGGTTCAGGGTTTAGGGTTTAGGGTTCGGCGCTTAGGGTTTAGGGTATTTAGGGTAAGTAAAAAGGGTTTAGGGTTTAGGGTATTGAGGGTTTATGGAATTCGGGATTTCGAGTTCATGCTGCTTTCAGGGTACCTTGAAAGGAGAAAAGACCGACACCATAAAGGCACCCCTGGAGTGTAGAAACCTTGAGGGAAAATTTGCAGGTACTCTGAGGATGAGGAGGGATGTAGGTTTTAGGGATTTGGGTTTAGGGTTTAGGGTTTAGGGTTTAGGGTTCACAGTAGGGTTTAGGGTTTAGGGTTTAGGGACTTCTAGGGTTTGAGGATGTGTCGATTCGGGAGTCAGGGGTTCCGTCAAAGTGTACCACAAGAAGGGCTAATTTACGAGTTCCTATAGGGGTTCTAATCAGGGTTCCTATTCATGTTAGCAAATGGGTTCAAAAAGGGAGCTGAGGATTTCGGGTGAAGGGCTATAGGGCTTCAGAGATTTAGGGCTTTAGTGATCTCAGGATTCAGTAGCTTTTGGGGATTCTAGTAGGGTTCAGGGATTCAGGGTTCAGGGGTTGACGGTTTAGGGTTTAGGATGTGGGCTTCTTCAGGGTTCAGGGTTTGGGAGTGGCTTTGGGCATGTCGGACAGGGCGCAATCGGTGAGGAGCTTTTGGGTTTAAGGGTTTAGGGTTTAGGGTTTAGGGTTTAGGGTTTAGGGTTTAGGGGCGTTGGGGTTTAGAGGCTTTAGGCACTCTCGTGACCAAAGGCCGGACGACTTCGTTCTCATTCAGACTATTTCACCTTGATCATGAGGCTCCGCAGGACGGCGCCGATCCGCGACCGCGGCGATCGTTATCGGGTCGCTCTTCAATATGGAAGTGTGGCTTCCATCGCATTGGGGCTTGCAGACCCACCCTCCACTCGGCGGAGGCTGCAGTTGAAAAGCAGCCTCGACAAGATCCTCGGTCCCTGGGCTTGACGCTTCACATGTCGAGACATTCACCCCACAGCAGTTGCAAGTTGCAAGTTCCAAACAACCTCAAAATGCTAAGGCATGGCACAGGATCGCCTCTTCTCGATCTGTAGTCTCTATAGGTATAGACAGATGAAGCATTAAAAGTTTGGGGTTTAGGTTTTCGAGTTGAGGGCTTCGGGTTCGGGGTTGAGGGTCCAAGGTTTCCTAAAGGAACTGTGATTTGAAAGTGACGGGGCACAATGTGACATAACACCCCTGGTGATTTGTTTCAGTTTAGGGTCAAGATCTGGGGTTTAGGTTTAGGATTGAGGGCTTCGGGCTTAACATAGGGGTCTTAAAGTAAGTAAGCAGCTAGGACAGGGTCCCTTCGAAGCCTACCTTTCAGGGTTGCGGCCTTTAAGACTTCGAAAGGCTAAGAGTACAGCTATGTGGCGCCCACCAGGGGTGGTTATTCTTAATTCCTCCGACCTCTATATGGGTGGTTGTCAAAACTGCGGTCCCTCTTTGGGGTCCCTATTATAATACGACACCTGCTGTAATATTTAGGGTACGCAAAAAAGGGACCCTAATTTTGACAACCACCCATATGAGATCCCGAAGATGGGGGCCTCCATGACTCAAGAACTCAAACGGTAGAGACGGTTTTCTGATCCCTCCTTGGAGGGTCGGGAGACTTAGTAAGTAGGTAGTAAGTAGACTTATAAGTACCCTAAAAGGGACCCTAATTGGGGTTATGGTACTTATAAGTCCCTAAAATAACCAGTTACTAAGTCCCATGATCCTCTAAGTAAACCCGAAGGTATGACCGAGCTCAAGCACATTTGGAGGCTTTCTACGTCGAGGCCAGATTTCAGAAGCGACCTTGAAAAGAGGTTGAATAATAGGGTTTCGGGCTATGCTAGACTATACGCATAACAAGGGAGCCCCCAGAATAGTATGGGTAATTATTAGGTGTGAGCTTGAGGGATCAGGTGCAGGCTTGGGTTTGGGGTTTGGGGGGTTTAGGGCCTCACGGTCTGAGAAAACAACAACATGTTGCGGGGTTTTGAGTTTCATAGTTTCTGGCGGGGTATCCAGTGTTGTTGTACGGTGTAGTGCAGGCTTCTGCACGGTTCAGTTTTCTTGGTTGGTGCTCTGCTGGGCCACCATCTCAAGGCCCGCCCGCGGATCGTAATTGCCATTACAATGCCTGTGCTGGTCGAGATATCAGAACTTACTTGCACTACAAGGGGCCTAAATACGTACTTGTACTGTTTTGGGGGTTCCTTGTTAGAAATTATGAAGGCCCCGGTATCAACCGACTTACCCCACAATCATGCCCTCGCTAATCTGTCAGGGGTCTTAGAAATTAAACTCCTGGAGTCTGAATGGACTGCAGTACTTGGAGGCTCACGGGTAGTTGCAAGTGGAGTTATAAGTCCCCTATTATGGGTTATAAGTATAGTTACCCTAGTCATAACCCTTCTCATAATTACCCATGAACCTCCAAGTACATTTGACCGCAGCAAAGGGCCAACATGTTGGAACAGCCCTAATCCCTGAACCCATGACCCCTACAATGAAACCTAAACCCTGGACCCTAAGCCCTAAACCCTAAACCTAAACCCCTAATCCCTAAACCCATTACCCCTGGGATGAAACCTAAACCCTGGACCCTAAACCCTAAACCCTGAACCCTAAACCCTGAATCCTAAATCCTGAACCCTAAACCCTAAACCTAAGCCAAAACCCTAAACCTAAACCCTAAACCCTACACCCTAAACCTAAACCCTAAACCTAAACCCTACACCCTAAACCTAAACCCTAAATCCTAAACCCTAAACCTAAACCCTAAACCCTACACCTCAGGGTCCCTTGTTCCCGATTAGCGCCTGAACCCTTGTCTTGTTGTTGAAGGGCCTCGGGTTTTTGGGATGTAGGGATGTTGGGACTTAGGGTTGATGATATAAATCCTGCATTACCTTAAGGACCCTAGACTATGGGAATTATGGTCTATTCGTTATCGTGGGTAATGCAGATTTTATATCATGAACTGTAGGGATATAGGGATGTAGGGATGTTGGGACGTGGGGCTCATGTATCTCTATATGGGTACATGGACCCTTAGGGTTTCGGCTTAACCCCCAAGTTGGAGGGATAAGGCTCTTGGTGGGGTTGTCATTATATGCATATACAAACATTTAGCTCTACTGGCTTAGGGATATCAGGTTCAGGGCTCAGGGTTTAGGCTGTTGGGGCTTTCAGGGTTTGGCTTAGGGCTGAGGATCAACCACCCGCCATAAACTCGCAAACCTCGAACCCCAAGAGCTAGGGTTTCTTGATGTTCCTTGTGATGATATCCTTATATATGCTTCCTTATACAAATCCTTGAGAAGGTACGTTATGATTGGATGAGTTGGATGAGCCGCCCACTTCTGACAGGTGCAGGTACAGAGTCCCGCCTGACAGGTGTTCTTGGAGTTGGCCAACTACGGTGAGATTGAGGCAAGGCCAATATTGTAGACGCCTGAATTAGTACCAAAACTATTTTCCATACAGCTCTCTAATTTACATACATACTATAGTGTAATCGAACAGCTTTTCCTAATTATGAAGAAGACTCCCATATATCTACTTCAGACCCCGCACCTTGCCTTCGATAACAAAGCCGAAACCCGACAGTAAACCCTAAACCTTCCGCCCTAAACCCTAAGCCCTAAACCCAATCCTGTAGGCCCAACCCTAATCCCTAAACCCAATCCTGAAGGCCCGTGGCTTGTCCTGGCCTTTACAGTACACCCAACAACCAAGATGCCCGGATGCCCGTATTATGTAGCCCTTGTGAGGTGCTGCGGGAGTCTCCCGGATGAGGTTTAGGGTTTAGGGTTTAGAGTTTAAGGTTTAGGGTTTAGGGTTTAGAGTTTGGGGTTTAGGGTTTGCAGTTTAGAGTTTTGGGTTAAGGGTTTAGAGTTTAGGGTTTAGGGCTTAGGGGCTTAGGGGAAAGATTTTGGCTCTCTGATGCAGTATGTCGGGCCCGGCCATCGCCATACGCTTGCCATTATTGACCGTTCTTCTTTATGTTGTATGCTGCATGCTCGTATACTACCGTTGATGATACAAATCCTGCATTACCCATCATAAGGGAGAGACCATAACCTTAAGGTAATGCAGGATTCATATCATCAGCCGTAGTAATACCCCTGTCAAGCTTACACGGGGCCACAGCCGCAGGAGGGCGAGTGTTTGAGATTTTCTCGGGGCTCGGATGTCTGCAGTGTCGGGTCAGTGCTGGCAGCTTCGGAATTTAGGGTTTAGGTTTAGGGTTTAGGGTATTAGGGTTTAGGGTTTAGGGTTGGGTAAAGCATGACAGCCTGCTGTGATGTGTGTTAGACGGCCCCTAAACCCGAAACCTTGAACGTTTAACCCTAAACCTAAACCTTGACCCAACACCCCAATGCGTTGAGCCATAAAACACTCTACCCGGGAGTTGGGGCATCCTATAAAGGCACACTGTAAAGGAGCCCTATTCCAATTCTTGAGGCCCTTACATGAAACCCTTGTAGTTCCTCGGTAGTATCAGGGAGACCGCTGAAACGGGACACTTCTTAACCCTGCTTCTGGCTCTCTAAAGCGTGACCTTATTGAGAGGGTCTAAATCCCCAAAGGCACCGTAATCCTGAACCCTAAACGCTTCTGGTAACCCGTATAGTCACCCTTATAGTAGTAACCCTTTTCGATCCCTTATCCTAGCAGAAGCCCATGGGGCTGATCTGACATAGGACTTGGTCGTGGTCGATAACCTTTGCGACCACATGATCGGAAATGTGTATGCACGGGCCCCAGTAGGTAGGGCTTAGGGTTTCTCGGTTTGGGGTTTCGGGGTTAGGGTTTGGGGCTTTGAGCATAGGATTGAGGGTTTTACGTTTTGGTCATTTTTGGTTTCCGTGTCTGCCGGGCCTGAGGAAGCTTGGCTTAGCACGTGGAACAGTTGGGGGGTACAGCGTAGTGCGGTTTTCTAGGGACTGAAAGGGAACATGCTTTAATCCTACTGTTGATGGACAAAATCCTGCATTACCCATTATAAGGAATATACCATAGTTACCATAGTTTAGGGTCCTTGGGGTCATGCAGGATTTTGTCCATCAGCAGGATCGAAGCCAACAAGAACCTTGAATTCCGGAGCTTTTAAGCTGCTCCTTTGTCCCCACTTGGAGGTTCCATGGGCAGGTACAAGTAGTGTTATAAAGTAGGATAGCCATACTTATAACCCATATTAGGGGACTTCTAGCCCCACTTATAACTACCACTGAACCCTAGAATCCTACTATACCCTAAACCCTATAGATCCCTTAGAGGAGCCTTATTTATAACTGTCCATGAACCTCCAAGCAGAACCCTCAACCCTCCAACTTTTGAGCGTAAGGGCCCGAAGCCTTAAGACAAATATTGTAATGGCCTCAATACTCAGACTTGTGTTCCTCTAAAGGGGTCTATCAGGGCTACTATAAGGGCTATTATAGGGTGTAGAGGGTAGGGGCCTTAACAATCAGAGCAGAGTTTTGGTGTTTCCTTGAAACAATGATAGTCTAAATGGGCGTTTCCGAAAACAGGGGTCCCTAATTTTGGGACCCTTATAATAGGATCCTACTATTTAGGGTACTACATTCGGGTCCCCTATTTCCGGAAAGTCCCAAATAGGGTCCCTGCAATAAGCCCGGATCGGATCCCGGAAGCCCATATCCGAAAGACAAGGTGAAGTATTACCACGAGGAGGATGCTGAGAGGGCCCTGATGAAGCTTACAGGCTGCCTACTGGATCAAAGGGGTATTTGGGTAAAGACTGTATATGTATATGTATATATATATATATATATATATTTCAAACATACATACATACATACATACATTCATACGTACATATTGTATATAACAGTATACAATATAGGATAGGTTTGAGAGGTTTCAGGCTCGAGGGCTTCAAGGTTTCGGGCTTCAGGATTTGGAATTGCAGGGGCTTGAGGGGGTTAAGGGATGCGGGGTTGTGGGGGTTGTAGGGTCCCTGTCGCAGCCTGCAGGGGTGCTGCGTGCGCGGTTTTGCACACTGCATGCTGCTGTGTGCACATTTTGTGCATCGGTTATATGCTTGTAGCTTGTGTGCTCGCACTGCTACTCAGAGCTGTGTGCACAGCTTGCGTTGTGTTGTGTTGTATTGAGTTGTCTTGCGTCGTGCTTTCCTTGGGTTGTTTTATATGCTTTGTGCTGTATTCTGTTGTGTCGTTGCTAATTTGCTTGTCTTTGTATGCGTGCAAGACCAGGGGGAGCGCACCACGATAGCACCCATAGCATGCAAGCAAAGCTGACATCCAAACAGAAGAAGTGGTCATAGAGCACATACAAGACCAAAGCCGTAAACCCTAAACCCGCACAAAATCATAGTCATGCACCCATTGCACACCGTGAGAGAGGTGACCGAACGGGCAACCAGCTGGGCCATACTGTAGCCTCAAACCTGTTCTTGCCTTAGGGGTACTTAGAAATACATTTACAATCCCTAAGAAACAGCTAAAATTATCATGTTTGCTAGGGTTCTAAGTTCAGTATAGTTGCCGTTGTCATTGACTTTATAGTTGTGGCTTCCGTTAGAGGTGTTGTGTTGCGGACATCCGGGGTTAGACGTTTCGGATGTAGGCTTGACAGTCGTCGAAGTTGTGAGGTCCTGAAGACTCCAGACCTTCATCCCATACCCCATACTGCGAAGGGCAGAAGCTTGAAAGTAATTCGCAGCCCTGACCGCTGAAGACCCTCATTCCTACATCTTCAGCCACACAGCCAACCCTCAGCTTTAAAGCCGGAAAATTAGATACTACTGTTGATGATATAAATCCTGCATTACCCACAATAAGGAATATACCATAATTCCCACAGTCTAGGGTCCTTAAGGTAATGCAGGATTTATATCATCAACCCTAAACCCTAAACCCTATAGATCCCTTAAAGGAAGCCCTTAAAGGTATCCCTATAGATCCCTTTATATCATCAACCGTAGGTCCGGGTCAGGGCCTGAAAAGCATGGTCGCAGGTCGTTTCTACAGCGGCAAGCTGATCCAGGCCGCGATGCTGCCCTCTACCACGTCTGCGGAGCTTCGTTCTGTACATATTATATTCTACGGTTCCATTCGATGCAGCTAGATATGCGGAATGTTCGAGCTACAAATTCTTCTCTGACGACCGCTTTTGTACGTAATGTACAGACTCGGAGTTTGACTGGCTGCTCTGACGATGTAGTTGCTATACTCTGGAACAGTTAAGTGTATTATGCTGCTAACGTATACGGGTATGTGTCACCGTAAGCATGCTTTATTGTATGTTGCGTATCACGCCATGTACGCTGTAACAAGTGAAACAATGGCTTCTGTATGCGAGTATACTCATGATACGATATTCTGGCGTAGTAGATGCGATGATGTCTACTTTGCGGTGGTATTTGTGTACATGCCATGGCATCTAAACTTCGTTTTCTCCTGTAGAACATCATGGCAGACTGTCGTTTCTCATTGCGTTTGCTGATTCCATTGCTGCATGTGCTGGTAGAAACTCCCCCCCCCCCGCGCTCACACGCACAGACATGCGTTTGCGATTTATGCGCCTATATATGCATGTATGCACACATGCATGTTCATGCACACGTGCACACGTACATGCACACACTCTGTTCAGATGTTTGCCGTGCAAGCTCACTGTTGCTTGTATTCATCGTTCTCATTTTCCTTGGCTGCATACCATACGCGGGTTTGCAGCAGCATGGACTTTCAAGTGGTTATACTGGGTATATGTTAGTATTTATTTTCCATGGCTTCCATGCGATTACTCATCACTCATCATTGAAACCCGTCCAACTAGCTCCATGTCCCAAACAAGCCCATGTAGAGTGACAGAAATCTGCAAGCCCTCATTCGCATAACTTTACTACTTCGATGATAGGCACGGGTCGAAGAGCTCGAAACCTACAGGGCGGTTTCGGGTTTAGGGTTCCGGGTTTCTTTGCAGCTTTCGGGCTCGATTGGGCTTCAAGGCTTGGGTTGCTTTTTTAAGGTTTAGGGTTTAGGGTTTAGGGTTTAGGGTTTAGGGTTTAAGGTTTAGGGTTTAGGGTTTAGGGTTTAGGGTTTAAGGTTTAGGGTTTAGGGTTTAGGGTTTAAGGTTTAGGGTTTAGGGTTTGGGGTTTAGGGTTTAGGGTTTAGGGTTTAGGCGCTTCGGGGGGGTCCCTTCGGCGCAGGCGGAGTACACCACGGTCTCAGATTTCCGAGAGGCGCGCTGCCGCGCGCAGGAGGCTCAGGAACACGAGGATGGCTCATAGCAGATGATGCTTATGACCCTGAACCCTAAACCCTATAACTTATGATAAGGAACCCTATGAGGGTTTGAGGTTTAGGGTGGTATTCTACAATCTCTTATAGACCCCTTATAGTAGCCCTTACAGACCCCTTTACAGGAACCCTATAATCCCTAAAACCCTACAAATGTGTGGGGACGGTAAGGAGACACTCTTATTGGTACTATGGCTCGGGGAGCTCTGAATTGAGAGCCCCGTTTTTGGGTAAAGAGTCTTATGGTTGAGGTTGTAGTATTAGGGCGAGTAGGGTTTGGGAGTTTAGGTTGTAGGGTTGCTTGTAATGGGTTTACGGCATTGAGGGTGCCTGCTATGTTGTCTGCATGGAGTCAAGGGAATTTTGAGTTCTGCGGAACCAGCAGATCACTTTAATCGCATAAGTCTGTCGTATCCATAATGCCGAAATGCTTTGCAGATTATGATCTTGCGCACTGTCCTTTTCAGACTCACAGCCTGAGTCGCAACTTGAATCGAGCCGCATAGCAGTGTCCGGATTGAACCCGAGACGAGAAACATCGATTTGTACGGAGATAGGACAGAGCCTACCTGGACCCTAAGGAACCTACCTTTTTAGGGCCCCTTAATATGATCTCCTTATATAAGTCCCTAAAAAGGTAGGTTTTTGGTGGTTAAGGTAAGCCTTGAATGCTGCACATCCTCACGGATTACCCTTGAACCCTAAACGCCCCTAGTCCCAAAACCCGTAGAACCTAACCATCCCTCAAAACCCCCTAACATCCCTCAGCCAGAAAGCTGACACTCTGAGGGTTTAGGGCTTACCGTTTAGGGTTTAGGGGTTTAGGGTTCAGGGTTTAGGGGTTTAGGGTTTAGGGTTCAGGGTTTAGTGTTTAGGGTTTCCAAAAGTTCTGAAACTTTTTACAAGACCTCCTAGAACCGTTACCCGTCTTGCACTGGCCTTTGAACAGCGAGGTTTCACGAGACCCGATGCAATCGAGGGGCCTACTGCATGCGCCTCAGAGTACCCGCAGTCGTGCCGGGGTTTCAGGATGCCAAGCCCTGAACCCTAAGCTCCGCAAGGGTTGGAATCTCTTGTAGAACATGTGGGAGTTTCCGAAAATGGAACCGAACAGAGTGCCCCAAATAGTAGGATCCTTATTATAAGGACCCCAAAATAAGGTAACCCTCATGTTCGCAAGCTCCCATCTTCCTCAGAGCTCAGAGGTCTAGGGCTTTGCGGGGCCGTGAGTGGACTCTGCACTTCGGTGACTGGGCTGTGGGAGGGCATGAAGTCCCTAAACCCCCACCCAAAACTGGAACCCAAATGCTGAGCCTAGGCATACTAAACCCTACTTTTTTGTAGGTTCTTATTATGCACCCTAATCTGGGAGTTATAGGGACCCTACCAAAAAGTAGGTTCTGGTGGGTTAAGGTAACTTCTAAACCTTGAATCTGAAGAATCCTGCACCCTACTTGGAGGGTCGGGGGACTTAGTAAGTGGTTAATTTTAGGGACTTATAAGTACCATAACCCCAACTAGGGTCCATTTTAGGGTCCTTATAAGTCTACTTACTACCTACTTACTAAGTCCCCTAAAGACCCTCCAAGTAAGCCCTAATCCCCCCAACCCTAAACCCGAAACCCTAACCAAAGTTTCTTCCTCAGGGGCCGATCTTCCAAAAAGATCAGCAAGCTCAAGCTTCCGTGGGGTTTATTTAGGGTTTAGGATTCAAGCCTTTTGGGTTCAAGGGTTTGGTGTTTAAGGGTTTAGGGTTTAAGGGTCTAGGGTTTAAGGGGTTCAGGGTTCAGGATTCATCAGCCTTTGGGGCATGGCAAAAAGACAGGCCAGCGCTGCACGAAGGGCATAAGGGCAGGCTATGGGGTTTGCGAAAACCCTAAACCCTAAACCCTAAACCCTAAACCCTAAACCCTAAACCCTAAACCCTAAACCCTAAACTCTAAACCGTTGAGTTTTCAACTTAAGGAGTTGCCATTGGGTTTTTAGGACGTGTAGTTAGAAGCAAGCTACAGGCAGTTATTTACATTGTCGTGAGGTGTTTTGCGGAACGCCGGTCTTGTGGGAGGATTGTTGTAGCACCCAGAGACTCCAATACCCCCTAGGAATAGACCTTAAATTATAGTAGGATCCCCAATATGAGAAACCGCTGTGCTGTCCCGGTTCAAGCAAGTCTTGCCCGTCAGCCCCGCCGGCAGCGCAGCACAAGGAGAACCTCGCCGCCTGCGTCGCGTCATGTCCGCTCCTCCGTCCATGGCGCAGACCTACCACCAGGGCCCTCTCTCTGCCAGCCTGCATCCCAAGGAGCCGCGTGTATAAGTAGTATTATCTGAGAGGCCCCTTAAAGGGTACCCCTTCTGAACCCTACTTCTGGCTCTCTTAAAAGGGACCTTATTGAGAGGGTGTTCATCTCCAAGGGTCCCCTGAATCCTAACTTCCAGGAGCCCCCCAAAACCTTCTTCTAATCATCAAGGCCTTTGCACTGTTAGCTTCAACTGAGGGTTGTTGAAACTCTTGGCCTCTTTGCGGTGCCTGTACCCTCTATGGGAGAAGCCTTATTAACGCTGAATCCCAACAGCTCGAAGGCCCCAGAGGACCACAGGGTAAAGCCCTTATGCCTTATTCCGAAATAATCCCCCAAGCCTCAATTGTGGAAACCAAAAAGCCACCTATAACGCTGCACTACCTCAAAGTTGCCTAGCCCTGACCTCGAGCCGTCAAAACGCCTCAAGACCTAACATAGGGGTCAGGTTATTTTGCATGTTATTCCCTGGTAACACCAAAACCTCTAAACGTCTAAGCCCTAAACCCCTAAACCCCTAAAACCTAAACCTTTAACCCCTAAAGCCCTAAAGCCCTAAACCCTAAACCGTTATTAATTTGTAGTCCCTGTTCTTAATCCTACTTCCTAAGTCTCCAGGCCCCTGAGCCCTAACCCCTAAACCCTAAACCCCTAAACCCTGAACCCCCAAACCCTTAAACCCTGAAACCCCTAAAGCCCGACAGCCCTTCAGCTGGGGAGGCTCTCTCCAAGGAGGAGCTGGAGGAATGCAGGGAGGAACTGGAGGCCATCAAGGCCCAGTATCCCGACAGCGATCGCAGGGTTGTGCAAACGGGGGCTGTAGAAGGGATCTTGGAGGTTCATAGGTATCTAGAAAGGGATCTATAAGGGATTCAAAAGTGATTTAAAAGGGATCCAAAAGGGATCTAAAAGGGGTTCAAAAAGGGATCGACTAGGGATCCAAAAGGGGGCCTAGAAGGGGTCTAGAAAGGGATCTATACCGTGAGGGTTTAGGGGCCTGGTGCTACCAAGGCTTCGGGCTTGTAGGGTTTCGGGTACGAATTCAGGGCTTTGTGTTCAGCGGTTTGGGCTTGGGGTTTAGGGCATGGGAGGGTTTGTAGCCTACATTCAACCTGTCCAAGTCTCGGGGCTTGAAGCAAGCAGACATGCTGAATCTTTGTGAACCCTTAACCACAAAGCCCAAACAGCTCAGGTACGGCTTGAAGGACTGCCGGATGTTGGTCCTGCGATTTGTGGTGGGTCTCAGCATAAGCATAGGCTGTCTTTTGGGCGCATGGTTGCTATAGAGGCTGGAGGAATTACTAAGTTGCGATTATTATTCCTAGGGTTCCTTATTAACTATTAGAGTTGTAGTTCGATGTACCCCGAAACTTTATTCCAATATTTGAGGCCGCTACCTATATGAAGCATCAGCCGCCATGAGCCCTCAACGCTAGCTCTGAATCCTAGGACGAACTGGCAAGAGTCTACATAAGCTTGAAAGTTAGGTTTAGGGTTCAGGGCAAGTACGACATACCCAGCTAGGTTAATTGTTATCCTTCTTATAGCCTGCTGAAGCTTTGAGGCCTACCCGTTTCAGAGCCCTTGGAACCCTGGTGCAGAGCTTATAGAAGACTCATGATAAGGGCTTCATCATGTCATGAAGCCCTTACAGAGCTTACAAAACCCTTGCAGAACCTTATACTTCGAGGCGACTTTCTGCCCAGCAGCCTTAAATCCTGAACGACCAAAACCCCCAAACCCTGCAGCCCTAAAGCCCTTAAACCCTCAACCCAAAATTCTGCAGCCCTATGACGAGGGTGTCTTTTCTGAGGGCAGGCCCTCTTGGGCGAGACCGGACCTGTGCAGAGCGAAAGTCCGTTCTTATAAAAACAACAGACACCCAAGCCTTCAACCCGAAAACCTAGACCCCCAAAGCCCTAAGCCCTAAAACCCTGAACCGGCAGGAGCCCGTGCGCGGTTTCATGGACGAGGAGGGCGTTGACTGGCGCTTCGGTGCTCCACCAAACTACACCCTAGCGAACCTGCTGCGCCGGGGCTGGTGAAGAAGGGCTTGGGCTTATAGCATTGTTGATGGGGCTCACAGTTGTTCATCGTGTTTGGGGTTTCTTGGGACTTATGGTGTCTTTAACATGAAACAGAGCATTGGGGTGTCTATGGAGTTTCGATGGGGATGCTGCATTCGAAAGGGTTGCTCTTCCGTTTCTATACGGTTTCTAACAGGGGCTAAGGCCCCAAACCCTAGACTCTTTTCGTAGTTCAGTCTTCGCTTGGAGAGTCGGGGGACTTAGTAAGTAGGTAGTAGGTAGACTTATAAGTACCCTAAAATGGACCCTAATTGGGGTTATGGTACTTATAAGTCCCTGAAATAGCCAGTTACTAAGTCCCCCGACCCTCCAAGCGGGATCTAGGGCCGGATCTAGGGTGTCGGTTTAGGGTGCGGGGCGAATCGAAGTCGAAGCTCCAAGCCTCCCCCCAAAGCCGGGCTTTAGGCTTTCCTAAAGCCCCAAAACCCTAAACCCCGAAGGCCCTAAACCCTTAAAGCCGAAACCCCTAAACCCCTAAACCCCTAAAGCCCTAAAGCCCTAAAGCCCTGAAGCCCTGAAGCCCTGAAGCCCTAAAACCCTAAAGACCCTGAGCCTAGGTTCCTGAAGGGGAAAACCAAGAACCACGTGGAGGGTTCCCTGGAGCTGATCGTAGAGAACCTGGTGCCTCGGGACGTTTGGGGTTCAGGGTTTAGGGTTTAGGGTTTAGGGTTCAGGGTCATCGCCAGAAAGTTGGAACCTCATGATCCTGGTGTGTACGAGTAGTTACAAAGGGGGTTGTAAGTAGGGTATCTGTAGTTAGAACCCATCTTGCGGGACTTAAAAGTCACTTATAGCTAGGCAAGAACCTCCAAGTGTAAGTATAACCATCTCAGGCCCCTATGCTAAGGGCTTTGCGGCGTGAATCATTGTAGTACCCAGGGACTGCAATATCCCTTAATAAAGGAATATACCTTAAATCATATTAAGGATCCTACTATAATTTAAGGTATATTCCTTGATTAAGGGATATTGGAGTCTTTGGGCAGATTTTTGGAGGGTTTTCTGCAGGGCTTTACCTGGCACCTCGGCGTTGCAAAGGAGCTCTTTGCGGGTGGATCCAGTGAATGATTCGAAGAGTGGAACAGGATTTCGGAGAATATGGTGTAGGGTTTAGGGTTTAGGGTTTTGGAGAATATTGCATACAATAACTGCATGAGGGGTATCGATGGGACAATTTTGTTAGTGATTCAGGCCCCTTGCTTGCGTTTCAAGGGATTTTGTGATTGAGCTGAAAGTTTGCTTTGGGGCCTTGTGTGAGGTGCTTTCGGTTTATACAGGGTTTGGATGGGTTTCGGGTTTTCGGCGAAGGGTTTGGGTTTAGGGTTTAGGGCTTAGGGTCTAGTGTAGTCTTGGGTTTGCGGAGGGGTGTGGGCTTGGGGGGTTTGAGTTTGGGGTTTGTGGCTCGGGCTACCCTGAGCATGTTGAGCGTGAAGACTGCGTAACCAAAATTTCATCGCCAAGGCTCAACATTGAACTCGAAGCAGTAGCATATACCTAGATGCTACATTGACCTCTGCAGCCCTAAACCCTAAAGGCTGAGCCCAACGAAATTAGCAAAACCTGCGCCCTGCAGCTCCTGAAAATCTAGGACCCGTCCTCCTT